CTCCATGCGACAGAGCGAAGACTATGCAAGAATACCTTTGAACAGGTCAAGGTCACGACCTCAGAGTGGGGTGAAACTAGCCCTGACCTCAATATGCTGAAAATCTCAAAGAATTCATGAAAAATGTTTTTAGAGGTTTTTTGGTGTTTTTTTTTAGCCTTATCCAATCATGATGTCAGACAGCTTTTCATTGGTCAGGGGTCCACACTTCAATTTCTCTAGGAACACCCCAGGGTCCACCTATCCACTTTCTTGTTTAAGAGCTTGTTGGAAAATGAATCTAGGTCACTCGCTGGGCAGTCCAACATATCAATTGAGCTGACAGAGATCAGGAACCGGCGTCTGTGGTGTAGCGGTTAGTTAGGTGCTTCACTGTTGCATGCAGGAGTTCCATTTCCCAAGTGGGGAGAAATTTTTATCGAGTATTTCAGTCTTTCTGCTGGTATACTGTGTCCATATCAGCCTGGGTAGGCCTTGACGTGCAGACAGTGTCAGAAGCCCACCTCCTATATGATCTAAACTGTATTGGGATAGTAAAATTAACCTAAATATAGAACATTAGTTTAGTTTTTGTAAGAGTATCACGGCACTTGCAACACACTACGGCAATATAATAAGTGCCGAAGATTAGAGGTGTTACAAGAGAGTAACAAACACGAAAAAAAGAAGGTGGGGAGATAAGGACGATAGATGTTTGATGGGAAAGAAGAAGCAAACCACACAAGAGCACCTGCCAACCACCCATAGAGAACATTGAAAATGACCCAAAGAGGACAGACGAACAGATGAAAAATATTACATTATACGATATTATATCTCCAGAAAAAAGAAAGAAATATCAACAAAACTGAAGTCTTTGAAACCAAACTGTATTATTATGAAAACAGAACATTTCAACTCACGACTAGATAAGAATGCTAAAGGTACATGATGTACTGCATTTAAATAGGCCTACTGCCTACATGTCGTTTGCATAGTTGTGGCAGGTTTGGCTGTTACAGTTACATTGGAATATCCATTCAAAACTGAAAGACGGTCACCCACTGTTGAGAAAAAAGGCCGCATTACTATAAGGGACCGTTCATAAATGACGTCAGCTCGGGGGGGGGGTGTCCATGAAAAGTTGACAAAAGTTGTGTGTGTGTGTGTCTTTACAAAGTTGACGTCAACCATGATGCTCTATAAGTTTGGGGAGAAAAGAAAAGAAAGGAAGAAAAAATATATGAGACCACATTTTCTTGACCAAAAATAAACACAAATTCATTTATTCATACAGCCTAAAAACTAAAATTAACAGTTAGATCCATCTCCTCATGGCACAGACTGCTAGCAGCTAGGAACAGGTTCTAAATAAATGTAAACACGGACATTTAGAATGTGTGTGTGCTCCCTGGGAAAGATGACAGAAGACGACAAATGGGGTCATTTTTGGCCAAATTTTAGCTGATATTATTTGTGAACGGTCCCTTAAACAGGTGGCCGTTAGAGCAGGTTTGACTATATATAATATCCATAAAATAACAAGAGAAGCTGCCAGTGTAAAAATCGTTGCCATTAATCCTCCAGACTCGGGTTATAAAAAAAGTTTCTTAACACTCCTGAGAGTCAAACTCAAACAAGTCATTCAAATAGACTAATATAAAAATTATACAGTCAAACCTCGATACATTGTCCCCTGTTATACGGCCAGGTTTCGCCAATGTATGAAAACGAATGTATAAATTATAATTATATATTTCAGTCAAACCTCATTATACCGTCACCCTTGGGACGAGCATAAAGTTGGCGGACTAGCGGGGCAGGCATTTAATATGGTTCTCTTTGAAGTTGAAATAGTCGTGACAGCCCAAGCCCAACGTTGAGGGTAAAGATTCTGTCTTGTTTGCAGCGCTTTTTCACACAGGACATTTATTGATTTACACGATTTTAGTTTGGTAGGAATAAATTTTGAAATTTTTCACGGGTGGCGGCTGAAGCCTACTTTCAGTGATTTTAGGACCACCAGGTGATCTTGAACAGGCGCAACTTGCACATGGGACCTCCAAGTCCGTGATTTTTAACTCCTATCTTAGAAGATTCAGTGATAGACCTCACCAACCCTAAGATCAGGGATGTGGTTGAAAGGTAGCAGTAAAAAGGAGCCAAAGAAAAGCAATAGAAGGCCGAGTCAGGAGCCCAGACGAGGGGGAGCAAAAAGTGGAGATGAAAGATAAGACAACATAATTAGAGAGGAGCAAAGGCGAAAGGAGAACATTTTTTAAAGAAGAAAATTTACATGCCCATCCCGAGGAAGACCGTATAACCAGTTTTGACTGTACATGGTGTATATCCACATTATATATATATATATATATATATATATATATATATATATCTTTCAAATCAAAAAGTAAAATTGCAAAAGGTGCAATTGCTTTATACATCTCTGAAAACCCATGCTCAATAACGCCCTGTTCAGGACTGAATCCAGGGTCGCTCGCACGTCACTACTGAATCCAGGGTCGCTCGCACGTCACTTCAGCTTAGCATAGAACAGGAGACCAGGATGTGGATTGTTTCCCACGACATATAAAATAATACTGGGGGTATGGCAGTATATTTGTAAATATATAAATAAGAAAGGCAAAAGGGCTTATCTGTTTAAAAATACAACATTAAAAAAGATCAAAAGTGGATGGACACAGTGAAGAAAATGGTACATACTCATTATTTGAAGAAAAAAAGGGAAAAAAATTCATAAAATCGAGGTCAATGGAACCAAATACAGTAGTCTCCGCCTAAGATCCCTCCCGCTTACCCAGGTCGCCTAAGATCCTGCTTTTTTGGAAAAACAACGGAAACCAACTGGTTCCCACCTGACACAGTATTTTTTTAAAAGCCCCACCCCCTCTCCTCTACCCCTAAAAAAAAACAAAGAAAAAAAAAACCTGACTCCTGAAAAGAACTTTTAGCCTAAATTAGCAAAGATAGTATCTTTGCTTTTAGTCACTTCCTTTTAATGTAAGGGGAGATCATTTTACAGTTGTCGGGCCTCACCATGAGTTACTGTGGATTCTTCCCTCTGGCCATTCGGTTAAGATCCCGCATTTGCATTGCTCCTGAGCAACGGGATCTTAGGCGGAGACTACTGTAATTAACTATATTTAAAATATTAAATTTATGAAAACAACATTTTTACTCATGACTAGAATGCCAAAGGCATATTTTGCATATAACTCAACATGAGTAGGCTTACATGATACATAACATGTAATTAACTTTTGTTGGTTGTTTATTTGGATTCCGAGCAACATTCTGTCCTCAGAATCAGGGTAAGAAATAATTTTTAAAAAGAAACTACATACATGTATACATGACGTAATTCTTTACTTCCATTTCTTCTTTAGTTATAGCAAGAGTTTTACGGCACTTGCAACACAGTTTTTTAGGTCATATAAGTGCCGAAGATTAAACGTGTTACAAGACAGTAACAAACACAAAATAGAAGGAGGGGAGATTAGGACAATAGATGCTTGATAGGAAAGAAGGAGCAAACCACACCAGAGCACCCGCCAACCACCCACTTCCCTTTCTTCTAGGTACAGGTTCAATGGCAACACCACCAAGGAAATAGGTACACAACCTTGGTAGGTTTGATTGCGATATATATAGGAACATAAATATATACATACTAAAATTATTTGATTCTATGATGTACAGTTTACATTAAACATTATAATATCAATGGAGCAGCTGGCAGCCTTAAAATCAAAGCCCAATTCGCTTTTGGTTTAAGTTATCAAAACTTTTCTTTACACCCTTAAACAAGAGAGTAATAGACTTTGAATAACTTATTGTAAAAATGGTATGTTTAGATTACACTTGCTGCTAATTTAGCCAGGATCCTTAAGTAAAAATGCCATGAAAATAAAGTAAATAGCATTTATTCAATACTCGTTTTAATTTCATCAAAACCCCTTGACAAAAGTTCATGCCCAAACATGATGCAAACGTAATGTCGCAATAATGAAATGGGGTGGTCTAGTTGAAATGCCCTTTACGAAAGCAGTACACACTGACCATAATACACCCCCCCACCCCAATAGAATTTGGGCTTCATGAAAATGTACTTTTGATGTAATGACTTTTTTAAATACGATAAATAAAATAAAAATAAAAAACGCCTTTTCCCATATTACCCCCCCCCCCCCCCCCCCCCAGAACAAGACAAAAGAGCTTTTATCTCCATAGTGCAAATTCTGTTGATGTCTCTTAACCCCTGGACATTACAAATAAAAGCAAAAGTCAATGTTAACAGTTCTGGGTACAGTGAAAAGATAATGATCATGAAAGGAGACAAAAATAGTCAAGGGATAAAAGAAACACAACAAGCAATTCAATATTCATTAAACACCTGAGCAAATTCGCATTCCTGTAGTACAATTGTGTAACCTGAAGAGACTGCAATGGCAGGCTACTGTGCTCTGAAAAACCCACAAGTCATATTTTTGAGCTTTTAAACGTCGGGCATACAGTAATAGATCTATAAATCATAGAAAGCGTGAGGTCTCATGATTGATCGATTGAGTATGTGTTTTACGGCACTATCGACCCAGTGAGGCCTCACATCAAATGAAAATGAAATAAAAGAACATTTTGATATGATCCAGGTCGTTAGTAGCCCACACCCTAATGACACGTCCACACCATGATAAAATCGGATAAGTGATATTGGGTTAATAATAATTGTCACCGAATGGAAAAAAAAACCCCAACTGATTTATTGAACAGATGGCTCAGAGTATCATATTTACATAGATTTCTATTCAAGACAGATTGGCATTATTTTCACTAAAAGGGATGAACAAGGCTGCCAGCTGCTCCATTGATATTATAATGTTTAATGTAAACTGTACATCATAGAATCAAATAATTTTAGTATGTATATATTTATGTTCCTATATATATCGCAATCAAACCTACCAAGGTTGTGTGCCTACTTCCTTGGTGGTGTTGCAAATGAACAAGCTTTTCAAAATTATACCTATAACTCCATACATGCCCCAAATCTGACAAGCGCCGGATTCCACTGTGTCATGACACACATGATTTATTTACAAAAATTCCCATTGAGTGGCATATAATACTGTTACAGTTTAATTTTGAGAGAAATTATAAGCAAATATAATATAAGTCACCCAATGTTCCACTTTGACTGACCAAAATAAAATTCCGTCAAGGGCAAATTGTTGGGTTTTTTTTACAGAAACTAAGGGTTAAAACAGATTGAATTTTTAATACAGCTTATTTTCTTACTTCAAATTCTTTCTAATAACGGTCCAATAGCAATGCTGAAACACAACATTCAGGAAGCAGACACATTATGTCTTGATAGGTTTGACTGTGGTAGTTACAAGAACATAAATTAATGTAATACTTATGTATACTTGAGACATTATATATAGATTACATAACAATACACTTTATAACATGAACAGAGAAGCTGCCAGCATTAAAATAACAGATACATACATGTATAGGGTATTGGGGTGTCTTTTATGTACCAGTAAGCCCTGACAGTTTGAAAAAAAATTGTTATAACCTGAAGGGACTGCAATGGCAGCAAATGAGTACTGAGAATCCATGAGTCATATTCCTGAGTTTTTTAACTTTAGGAATCAATAACATAAGAGCAAGGTCTCAAATAAAGATAAAAAAGAAGAAATTTTGCTCTGATCCACTTCACTGGCAAAACAAACTGAATTTTTTATCAACACAGCCCTTAAATTACCGGCCACTTTCTTCACTTGATACCACTCAAGAAAATCTTTTCTTTTTTGATAAGTTAGCGCTGGAATATATAATACCAACAATGGCTTAATTCCTCAACCTGAGCAGGTGTTGTCTCTGATGAATTCTCAGCCAAGCAGCGCTCACCCCCGATCAACTGATCCGGGCAGGAAAACAAAAGCGCCCTCTCCATACAACCTGGAAGCCCAAGCTGCCTCACTTTTTCCTTCCGACCTGGCTCAGACCCACACATATCAGAAATATTAACAAAACAAAGCTGCTGAAGAGATGGCACGGAGACTGACATCTCATTCAGAACCGCTACACTCTCATCAAGCCCTACATGTCTGTTAAAAAACTCTCTCAGTTTTGTATGTCTAGGCAAAAGAGTCAAGTCTGAGGTTGTCAAATAGGAGGCCCTCAACATGTCCCGAGCCACTGTCACATGACCACACAATAATGCCATACAAAGGGGAGAGAAGATGCCGGCAAAATCTGCTATCAGAGAGAGATTTGCCCTACAGAAAGGCGGAGGCCCTCGAACATGGATGTCCTGAAACAGAGTTGGACTAAAACCCCCTGAGTGTATCAGGGCTGACAAAACGTGAAAATTGCCAAGGGCAATGCTGTTGTGAACTGCCAACATCGCTTTCCCTGATGAAACTTTTGCTCCATGCTTGAGGAGACACACTATAAACCTCGCCGATTCAGAATAGGATTTCTCCATGAGAATCTTGGTAAGAAAAGTTATACCATGAAGTCTAACATTCACGTCAGCACCAGCCTCCACCAAACAACGAAAAGAAGAATAGTTTTTGAATCTTTCAGCTTCCACTAAGGGTATGTTGTCATAGCGTGGATTTGGATTTGAGATATTAGGGCACGCCCCTTTTTCAATGAGCAAAGAAAGAATGGTCCCATCATCAATTCTGGCAGCTATGGTTAGCGCAGTATCACCATTGGATTTAGAAATGTTAACATCTGCGCCGTGATCAAGCAAATAACGAATTACCTCAACATCTTTTCCCCCAATCGCAGAAATAAGAGGAGGAGATGAATGATAGTGACCCTTGAAATTCACATCCGCACCTTTTTTGATGAGCGTCTCAACAGACTCCAAATCCCCACGATAAGCCGATACTGACAGCGGCGACTCACCACGGGAATCAATCTGGTTGATATCAATGTCATAACTAAGAAGCAACTTTCGCATTCCAACATACCAGGGGTTGCGTGAGAGACCAAGGTTGAGTGTTTTGATGTGTAAAGTGGCGCCATGCTTTATCAAAACTTTGATAACATCTTGGAGATTGGACAACACAGCCTGCTCTAAAGCTGAGTCTGCAGAATGACCAACATCATAGGAATGATGATGTTTGTTAACATCCGCACCATTAAGTATGAGCATTTCAGTAACCTCTGCGGAAACTGAGCACATCAACGGCAGGTTATCAAAATTACCGCCTGTGGCTTTGGCACCAGAGTTGAGAAGGGTTTTTACAATAGGTAAACTGTTGCTTCTGCAAGCAGCACACAGCCACCCTGTCCCTTCATCACCAGACACTAGTTGGTGAAATTTTTCTGAGTAAGCATCCCGCACCATCAAAAACACGGAGAAACGACCGGAGCTAATGGCAGTAATCATGGTCTCGTTGAAATCAATATACTTGATTATCTTCAAGAGTTTAGCTACACACTCTTCCTTACCATACCGCAACGCCATATTCAACGCAAACTGAAAACTCAAATTCCATTCTTCTGTAAGATCAAAACACTGCTCCAGCAAAGCCATACTTGGGGTCAGAGCATCTATAAGATCACAACGACCAGCCCTTGCAGCAACTTCTAAAGCTTTGGCATATGAGTCACCATTTCCAATCAATTTTTGATTTTTCAGCAAAAGGTCAAGGAGCTGCTTATCTCCAAGTTTCACGGCCATTAGAAAAGGACTATTGTCTCTGCCATACTCACCCCCAATATGGATGTTTGCTCCAGCTTTCACCAGCATAGCTACAATATCCTGCTCTTTGACAGTTAACTGTTTAAAATTATGTAAACGGGTTTTCAAGTCAAAGTGGAGGGGCAATAACTTCTGCCTTTCATCAAGTTTTGAATTGAAGACCATAGTGAGGGCAGTATCAGTGAAGTCACAGTCATCGCTTTCATCAGAATCTAAATCTACAGCGTTCTGATTCAGATCAAACTGTTTTGACATAAGTAGCAATTCTAAAAGATCAGTATTCTGGGCCACAGCGGCTTTCATTATTGGAGTCAATCCCTGACCGCTTGTGTCCTCGGCCAGTGCCTCCACTAACCCATCCATACCCATGGCAGTGGCAAGTGACCTGGCAGTATTCCCCTTTTTGTCTTTCAGATCCACATTGGCCCCGGCCTTCACCAACTGGAGCACAGCGCCAATGTTCTGACTCTTCACAGCTTTCATCAAAGCTGTTTGTCCTTTGTGGTTTTGCTCATTGATTGATGGTCCGTGCGAGTGTGACAAGATAATCTCGGTGATGCGAGCTGCACCTGATGTGCCCTGACAAAGAATCAGTGGCGTGTTGCCACAACAATCAGGAGTATAATTCATGAAAACAAATTCACCCTGACTTTTTCTTAGAATAAATTCCATAATATCAACATGCCCCTTTTCCGCCGCAATGTGAAAGCAATTCTTTCCCAAAATTGCAGTATGAAGAGAAGCTCCATGATATATCAGCTTTTGCACTATAAACAGGTGACCAAGAGACACAGCTTTATGCAGGGCAACTCCCAAGATAGAAAAGAAACTCTTGTCATGACTTTTCAAGATTTCAGCAACTTCAATTGACCGTCCAGCCTCCACAGCCTGTAAGAGACTTTTGGGGAATTCAGTAAAGCAAAATGAAGAACTTGGAATTGATCGTCGACTTTCTCTCGGACAGGAATGAGAACGATGTTCTTGACTGGACGTACGACGGGAGGCAGACTCTACTGTTTTGTCCCACTTCGATTTCCGTTGATCTTTTGTGGACGTCTCAGAGTCTGAGCTACAACAGCTGTTCCTTCTATTGCGAGTTGAGGCCAGGGAAGACTGGTGTCCTCCATTTGTTGTATTTTGAGAGGCCTGTTCTTGGTCTATTTTGTGACCCTTACTGGAGGAAACTGTATCTTGAAGAGTTCTTTGTCCCACACTAACTGACGCTTGGAGAGAATCGTCACCATCTGAAGCACGAGCACTTTCCTGTGTTGAGCCGCTTTGACTTTGAAGATTCTGGCCATTCGTTTCGCTCGCCGTACTCATTGACCTCTGCCTAGGAAGGATCTTACGATCTTTCTTCTGGTTTCCCTGTAGTAAAAATAACAGAAAGAAAAAAAATGTTAATGTCACATACAATGTCAGCATCCATCCTAATTCTATATCATACAGTCAAATGAAACTTATTAGCATATCACCTCTTCACAAAAACCAGCATATATAAGAAAGAGAAAGGAGACATGTGCAAGAATAACTCAGCCCATGTACTTCCCACTGTGAACTGACTGCTTTTGTATTTAAATCTTTTTCATTTAAAATCTTACTAAAAGACTGCCATACACTGCCAATTGTAGTTTTTATTTTAGTAGAGGTTTGTTTTTAGTTTTAGTAGAGGTTTTTTGGCCCTCGCAACTGCATAAGGTCATTATAAGCACCAAAGGGGTGGATGTCAAAGGAGAAGTCCTTACAGGGAATCTTACTCTGCTCACCTCTCTGGCCTCAACAGCACAAAGTCTGCTTCGACTATCAAGACACCCAGGAAATAGTGGGTCACAAGAGTGTGACAAACATACAAAAGAAGTTGAGGAAAACGACAATAGTAAGGATTAGGAAAGAAAAAGCAGCAGTTCAGGCACAGTTATAAGCATGGCATTGATGAATCAGCTCATTTACAACTATACAGTGCATAATATAAGAACATGTTAATGTCCCCCCTTTGGGAATGGCCTACAGACACTTCAGTCAGTAGCAGCGCCCGGAGCGGGGTAATGCTTAATTTGACCTACATCCAATTATTTTTTTTAATTGTCAGGTTAGGGGGCTTATTTCCAGATTGCAATGTTTTATTCACTTTTTACAGAATGGTCATTCATGATTCATGCTCATACTAGTCATACATGCATACACGAATGCATTCACTTCACCAGTTCTACAGTAGGCCTTCTGGTATGAAAGATCGCACAAGCAACGAGACCGAGGAAAAGATGGCTTCTGGCACAACAAAAACAAAAGGATATGCTTCTCACTCGAATTAAAGTCAAGAGTTAATTAACTAAGTTGAGAAGAAAAGGAAGACTAATCTAAAGCGCATAATTTTATAGATATTGAAGGGAGGTAAATACATGGATTAAAATTTTTAAAAATAAATTTTCATGTAATTTCCCCTTTGCATTCCTATAGCGGGAACTGGGAATCAGTGAACTCGTCACAGCTGAAAAACGTGTAGCGAGTTGACCTGAAAAAAAAAGTATCCAAATAACAGTGAACTTGTCAAACCACCTCTCCCGTGCAAACAACGGTCGGCAATGTTCGGGGTTGGTGGGCAAGATATTTTCTATTTTCGCCGTACTAAGTTACTTCACAATGTCTTTCTCTCTCTATATGTCTGTCTTTCTCTCTCCCTCCCTCTCGGTAACACAGTACAATGATGCAAACAGAGATTACATTTTAAAATATGATTCGATTCTAATTAAAGGTTGACATGTGTGGGTTTGCCTGCCTATCATACTATCAACAGTGAACTCGCCACACGTCTTTCACAGGTTGGGAGTGGGAGCATGTCTATGTTCCCACAGTCAAGTTACATACTATGTCATGTTAAAGTGACTAGTGGTAAAGCAATGGTCAGACTGACCAGTGGTCAAGCAATGGTCTTGTTTAGTTTTAGTAGAGGTTTTACGGCACTCACAACTGCATAAGGTCATATGAGCGCCAAGGGGTGGATGTAAACAGAGATGTCCTTACAAATTACAGGGAGTCAGACTTACTCTGCTCACCTCTCTAGCTTCAACAGCACAAAGTCAAGGCCTATCAAGGCACCCCGGAAAGAGTGGGTCACAAGTGTGAGGAAAAATGACAATAGTAAGGATTAGGATAGGAAAGAAAAAGCAGCAGTTCCCAGTGTAGATCAGGCACATGAGTGTGACATTGATGAATCAGCCATTTACAATTCTTTTATGCATGAACGAGAAATGTCCCCGGTCCCCCCTTTGGGAATGGCCTAAAGACACTTCAGTCAGTGGCATCGCCCCATGGAGTAGCAACTGACAAGTGGTCAAGATATAGTCAATTTGACCAGAGGGCAAGCTATATTTATATAGTCAATCTGACCAGTGGTCAAGCTATATATAGTATACTAGCTGGGCCCCCTTTCGATGAAAGGAATGATCGGTGCATTAACATCAACTAAAAGTCATTGGCCTACTATATTTCCACTCTACTGGAATGGAGCCATAAATCTTGAGAGAAAAACGGCAAACGTTTCCAAGTCGCCAAATACAGACCTGCCACTCTACGAAACCTCAAAATCAGGATCTCAGGGTGAAAAAATCGGGATTTGGGGGAAAAAATCGGGATCAACAGCAAATCACCAAGGTAACTGCCAAAGCTGACTTAGAATTTTTCCAGGGGTGTCCATAAATTACTTGGCCTATATGCCCTCTGAGTGTTTTTGTTTGTTTGCGTGCGCGCGCGCGAGTGTGTGTGTGTGTGTGTGTGTGTGTGTGTGTGTGTGTGTGTGTGTGTGTGTGTGTGTGTGCGTGCGCGCGCGTGCGTGCGTGCGCGCATGCGTGCGAGTTATTATTTTTTGTAAATCCTGAAGCATCACGTCAAGCACCTCTAGTCCAAGTGTCTATGGGCCTCCCCACCCCAACCAATAAGTCCCGAAATACATGAACTTAAGTTGACCCCGACAACGGACGGTCCCCGACACGCAGAACTCACACGGCGATGTCATGTCACGTGACGCGAATGCGCGATTGAAACAATTTAATTTTTATTAACGGGTCCGACTAAATGCGCGTTTACACAAACTCTCAGATGAGCGACAGTCGGTCTACTTCTAGTACTCTGGGATAACAACGGCGGCCGACCGACCAATTGTACCAACAAATCTCTTATCCCTCATAATGCGTTCAGACTAAAGCAACGACAACGGCCGTATGTTTGTCTTGTCAGCGCAGTTACAGTTAGTTAGTTGTGTAAGGGTTAGAAAGACTGTCGCTCGTCCGAGTGTTTGGTGTGAACGCACAGTTACCAGACCTCGGACAAGGCTTGTTTTGAAAGTAGCAGCGAAACTACGAATGTTATCGATTATTTGTATGTCCCAAATTGTAACAGTTACCAGGCTATCATCGGAGAATTCTGAGTGCGGGCAAAGATCACACACAACTTGGGGCGAGTCAATTACTAAATGCAGCATCTATATTTCGGGAAATGGTGCTCCGAGTTCCTACTGACAAAAAGTCTAACGGGTGTTTCCCGCGATAAAGGAGAAGACAGAGTGTGTTTTTAGAAAAATCCGGCACAACAGGAGACTGGGACAAAAATCGGGATACACGCGATCAAAATCGGGAAAATCAGGATGCTTCAGATTTGGAGAAAAAAATCGGGACATCCCGACTAAATCGGGATGGGTGGCAGGTCTGCAAAAATAAATAACAAAGGAGTCCAGAACAAGCCAATGATGCGCATCAAACAGAAGGACTACATTCGAATTTAGCACCAAGGAAAAAAAAGAAAACATGAGGCTAGATTTATACGGGTCGCACACTTAAAATAGTGCTCAGTACTGCGCGACAATGCGCGATAGTATCGAACGGAAGTACGAATTGAAATAAACAAACCAGGCGGATTTTCTAAAATTACAGTGACAGAAGCGTCGCCCTACAAAAGCGATCGGCGAAATAAAGAAATTTAGCTTTTTGCAGCACAACTCTCAAACCTGAAAAAAACGAAGGGCGTCATGATCTGGAGAATATTTTAAAGAATCTTTTGGGGAAAACTGCATGTCGATCGATGCAGCCATTAAAAAGCCTTTTGAATAGCAAAATTCGGCGACCACAAATAGATAATAGATGTGAGGTATCGAGGTGAAATCAGGCGCTCGTCAAAAAGTGAAATCAAAGAAATTGGCATTTTTCTGACTGTTGGGCAATTTTTTCCTTATTTTCTTTTTTCGACTCAACACCTTTTATTATAAAATTTAATAACATTTCTGAGTGGATTTTACAGAAAAATATAGATTAAAGGCACACAAAAATGTCAATTTTCAGTTTCCAAAAACTCTCAAGCTATGGAAATTACCAAATTTTGGAGGCCATTTTCTTGCTAATTTCACCTCTGAAGCCAGGCGACCCTGACCTCGTTCAATCGCAACTGTTTTGACTTCTATTCAACATAAAAGGATAATTTTCCCCCTAAAGCAAGGCAAATGATGGCCTCATTTGGAACTAAAAAAGAACTCAAGGAAAGAGAGGGTAGGAAGAAGGTAATAAACATGAACATCCTACAATAGTATGCCCTAACCAATGATGCAGAAGTGGAGAATAAAGATGACTTCTACAACCGCCTGCAGAGTGTCATCCACAAACTTCCAGGTAAGGACATGAACATTGTCATGGGAGACCTAAATGCAAAGGTAGGTTCGGACAATCATCACTGTGAGGAAATCATGGGCAGACATGGATTAGGAGAGGCAAATGACAACGGAGAAAGATTCCAAAACTTCTGTACATTCAACAACTTGGTTATATTGGAGGAACAACCTTCCCACATAAAAGAATTCATAAGGCCACTTGGGTCTCCCGGATGGAACAATGGAAAACCAGATTGATCATTTTTGCATTTCCCGAAAGTTTAGACGCTCACTGGAGGATGCCCAAGTCTTACGAGGAGCAGCGTCGCATCAGACCACCATTTGATCCTCGGAAAGATGAAACTGAAACTGAGAAGGTTTGCACAAATCACAACTGGAAGTCGCCAAAAGTATGAAGTGAGCCTTCTGAAAGATCCAGTAAAGAAGAAGGAATTCAAGTTGGAACTGAAGAACAGATTTCAAGCCCTTGAAGATCTGGATGACTGAAGTAAAAGAACACTGGGACAAGATAAAAGAGGCAGTATATGCAACCTGCCAGGCTTTGTATGTATGTATAGTATAAGGTTTTACGGCGCTCGCAACTGCTAAGGTCATATGAGCGCGCGAAACACAAGTTGTTCACCTCTGCGAAAGTTCACTTCACGACTGGCTAACTAATTTACTTTAAAATGCAAAAAAGTTAAAATAGTCAAATTCGGTGTAAATATATTTGTGA